GGAAGTTGAATACTCATAATACTGCCAAAGCCTAAACCAAGTTATTGAGTTTCATTTTCATTTAAAATTGAATTTAAAAGAAAAATACCTTTATAACTTACTTTATATTATAGTCATTGTAGCATTTCTGTAAAGGGGGATATCATCATATTTTTAATCACGTGTAGTTTCAATTTAGTCTACTTATATTTTTAGTTTTCAACTTCAAAGAGGTCTGTCCGCACATAGTGTTCTTGATACATCTATTCATATAAGAGGCTTTCCCCCCTCCTCCATTACACCATTTCTTTTTCTTTTCATCGTTGAACTTTCCTCTTTTTGGCCAGTAGGTACAGGCAGTCAGTACAGTGTCTCCCAAGAGAGCTCACACCATGGGGCATCAGTTATTCAAGGCCAAGGTTTTACATATAGCCCTGAGCTTTACTCTAAGCTCTTTTCGTAATACTTCCTTAGTAACAATGGCTGATGAGTACCTTTATTCTGAGGACTTTCTGTGAAGATGATATTTACACAGTCAAGACAGCAGATTGCTGATAAAACAAAGAATCCAAGTTTTTCTCTTGGAGTGGACTAGAAGTACCATCTCTGGAGCACAAATGTTGCTCTGAGCTTTTGCCCTGTCAGTTGCAATGCGAGTGTTCGTTGGTGTTTGAGGTGCCTCACCTTTGTTCCTATGTTAAAGCTGTAATGACCACCAGTTTTCTGTTTATGAGCTGCTGCTGCCACCTATTTTTATGATACCGAAGAAAGTATATATCAGATTATATCCTCTGTTAATATTTACTCATGTTATTAAACCTTCATTTTTTTCAGATTAATGACAAAAATGAACTGTTAGACCAAGCTAAAGAAAGATATACAGACTGAGAAATTCAGCCTTTTCCTAAAACACTCTACACATCTTCTGGGAGAGCTGAAATCTCCTCTCTTAGTAAAATGCCAGCTTTTGATTGGAACTGATTATTTTAATTACTAAAAAACGAGGAAAATTATGTAATGGTCCGAGGACACAAGTATGCCTCCTAGATTATTTAAGTTTCTTGGGAAACTTTTATAGCTACATTAATTTACAAGGGTATTTCTCTTTTCAAATCTCATGATTGTTGCTCAAGAACAAAAACTTCAGTAAAATTGCAACCACAACATGCTGGGCTGGCTATACAAGCATAGCTAAGTGCGAGAACCTTTCATCTTTCCAGCAAGAAGTACCTCAAGATGAGCAGTTGTGCTGATGTTGCAGCCTCTGACCTGATTTTCCTTCAGCACAGCTACAACTTGTTTCATCTTCTTGCCACTAGGAAGCTCTTTTTAATCATGTCATTTGTAGCAGTCACATAGGAAATTATTTTCTACTTCATAGTGCTTCACGAACATTAACTCGTGGAACTGGCTGTCTGTTGCAGCAGGAACGGTGTTGTGCAGATCTTCTCTGGGGTCTGTGTGAACTCAGGAATAATTCATCACAAGAAACAAATGGGAGTGGTCCATCCGTCCTCCTGCAAAAGAAGGTGTTGCGTTTTCTCCCAAGCTATGCAAAGCCATCACCCTGCGTGGCTTTGAGTTTCTGTGCTGTTTAGTTAAGTACTAAAGTGTTGCATGTCTTCTGTTTCTTATGGCTCTTACTCAGCTGTGGAAAGAAATATCAAGTAATGTAACTACTTTCTTCCAGATCTTGGGCCAGAATCTCAGCTGGTGTAAGTCAGCAGAGCTCCACTGACATTATTAGTGCTCCAGTGATTCACACCAGCTGTGGATCTGGTCTTCTGTCTCAATTTATGAAGGGCTTGAACTAAATGTCAGGAAATATGAAATGATCTCTTATAGTCAGCCGTTCGCCAGATGTGTTAATAGCATTTAAGTTTACCAAAATGCAAGCCTTCAAAAAGCGATCCAACAGAAGAATAAACTTTCAAGAAGAATGCCTTACTTTCAGCCTTTTTGGCGAGAGAGGACTATACAACTCACTGCAGTTTAAAGAAATTAACTCAATTATGCATCAGGATATGGTAATACAGCTTCAGTGAGAATCCAAGATTCAAAATAATTTCACAGCACAAAGCAAGTTGTTGGTATTCAGTGAATAATTGCCATGCAAATAGGAATCATCAAGTCTTAAAACCAAAATTAAGTTTCTGATGAACCTCGTGTAAAGAGCCTAATGCTTCCACTTTGCAAGTGTAGTTGGGTTTATTCACAGGCGTGGCGACTACAGCTTTTGGTGATTAAATGAGGACCATGTTGTTACAAGAACACAGAAGCTTCATAGTTCTAGCTGTGTAATGTTAAAACTCAACAGCAATTTGGCTTATAGATGTGATCATGTATAGTGTTGAAAACAGTTATTTTAGCCAATGAGAATAAAATTGTTGTTGACATTGCTTAAACACTGTCAGGCTTGCTTTTCAAGATCAGAAAATGCTGGAATAGGTGAAATGTCAAAATCAACAAGTGTGGGGTCTCAGAAGTCTTTCAGTCTGATATGCCTAATCTTATATGCCTATATGGCATATAAGCATATGCTTTAACAAAAACTTCCAGTACCTGAAATAGCCTGTGGTGGTACAGAGGTCTTCACAGCCTAATTTATTTGCTGATGGGACCTTTCAGAATTAATTAAAACGATCAGTGTGTGGCTCCATACTGTGTGATTTACGTATGTTCTCACTGGAGACTTAATGCTTTGGATAGACCCAGAAAGGTAAAAGAACAACACACCTTCAATAAGTAAGCTTGAGTGTCACACTGTGTTGGGATATGCTACCTATATTTAAAAAAAATAAGGGTACAAATAAGTTGATAGCTGGCAATCAGAACACCATGGAGTGATCTGATCCTGCTGACCAGAGGTCATTGGCTAAGGGTCTGATTCTGACAGGTTTGTTTCACAGTTAGTCCAAGTGACTTTTGATGAGACACGCATCTGTCTACATGTCACTGCATACTAAAAGAAAAAAAAAAATGCTTGGACACAATTTATTCAGACCTGAAGGAAAGTGTTTTGGAAGAGTTCACAGAGAAAGTTAGTTAGACTTCCAAAGAAGGTAGTTATCATAATCTGAATATACCAGTACGTTGAATTTAAAGTGATCCGCAGAATTGAGGTGATGGATAGAGTGGTGAGGAAACCCTTCTGAATACCGGAGAGCTCTTAGGAAGTGACAGCATCCAAGACTCAGCATTTACTGGGCTTTTGCTGATTCCCCAGGAGTATGGGGGGCTCCACCTTGAAATAAAAATCATTCCCCAGGTTCACAGCAGGAAACATCGTAGTGAGAGCTCTGAACCTCCAAGGGCTTGACAGACTTGAAGTGTGAGAGGCTATGAATCACGCAGTGGCTGGGGTCTTAGGAAGCTCATTGCATTTTGAAGATTGCAGTTTTATAAAAACTTCTGGTCCCTAGAGATTTCTGGGTAGTAGTTCTGGGAAACTTGGTTCTGAATCTGTTTGAAACCAAATTTAAAAAGAAAAAAAATTTGCTGAATTTCACTGACTATATTGGCTCTACAATGTGGAGAGGTTGAAGGCAAATGCTTGAATTAGTCTGAAAATTAGGATTGCTTTTGCATGCCTCATTGCACTAAGCCTGCATATGGCAGCATTTGAGAGTAACACTTTCCATCACTTCTGTCTAGTTCTTCCCATTCTGGTGGCTGATGTGTTGGCCTTGGTAACATATGAATTTTTCACCTTCTGTCAGGATTACACCAGTGGAATATACCTGGGCGTGAAGCCATCAACTTTTATGAAACTCCAACCAGTCCAAAATCCTACAATACAAGCACATCAGGGCCTGTTCCCTGCTTCCTACACCAATTCCCTACAGCACACTGAGCCAAGATTAAGAGATTATGTCTTAGTTTCAAAGCAGCTAGTGATATCGACCTGGAATATCTAGTCACCAACAATACCCATGTCTGTGATCAATAATTCTCCTCTTAAAGCTCACAAAAGCAAAGTTGTCTGTGCAGGGTTCAAAGATTTTTTGTGGATTCAGCCTATACATGTAAGATCAGTTCCTATAGGGATCAGAAGCTGTTGCAAATGCCACTGTTTTTGGAAACACAAGATACCTTTCCTTCCCAGGCATAAGCAGAGCTGTCTTTATCAGAATGGTGTCTCGGAGAGAGAGGAGAAAGAGTGAACATGGGCTCCTGGCAAACACCAGGAGCTTGTATAGCCAAGAGCCATTTAAATGACCTACATTGATGAGGACAGTCAAAGGAGTGCTAAATAGGACTGACTGGTGCGGAGTAGCATCTTATTCAATGTGGTGGATGTCTGGTTCAGGCATGAAGTTTTCAAGTAGGACTCTGTGGTGTGCAGCTGAGGGCAAACCTTGGCATACACATATCCATGAATGGCGAGTGCTTCTATTTGCATACATTTATAGCAAATGTAAATAGAACATACGTACAGGGGAAGGCCAAGGATTTGAAAGTCCCCAAATACCTGAATTCATGTATTATGATGGAAGGATATTCATCACTTCCCTGTTTTCTTCTGCTCAAGTGTTTGGAGAGAGGCTTGAACATTTGGAGCATGGACCTTTGAGACAACTGAGTCTGATTCTTCATATGTCTTCATGTCAAACTGATGGACAACAGACACATTTAGTGCCAGGGAAAAAATACAGAGCAGTTAGCAGAGCATCATCCTGTGCAGTAGTAGAAGAGCAGATCCTTTGTATGTTTTCTGCATTTGTTCTGCTCTCCCTAGCTCTCCATGTGAAAATTGTGAGTGAAATGGTCCTTCTCAGGGTCCTAAAAATTGTAACAAAATAGCTGAAGCCTTGACATTTATAAGCTGAATTTCATCTGTTGTTTTGCCATTGCCATCTCAGCACGTAATTAGGTCTTACAAAAAGCACTTTTCTCTTACATGTAACCTTAACAAAAAGCTCAAAATACACTATTAAATGCTTACCTTGGTGGTGTAGTTGTTGGAATTGTTTATATCTGTATCTAAATTTGTTTCAAATCTCTTTGCTTTCTATTTCCAGACCTGATCTGGCCTCCCAGAAGACATCGGACAAGCATTTGCTGGATGTGATGTCTCTCGAAACACTGGAAAACACTTGTGAGCCAGAGGACCTCTTTGATGACATCTAGCTATGTGTTGGCTGAGAAACTGAGAGACTGGTGCTTCTAACGGAGATAAGCTATAAAACTAAAAAGCTTTGTTATAGACACTGAGCTGAAATCTTTAGTCTGCGGTGGTGTTCGATGACATATTGCTCTAATCCTCTTGCACTGCACTTGTCCCCATTCTTCACTACGCAGCTGTAGACCCTTGGCCTGCTAGGCTTGATTGGTGACAGCCTTGAAATCAGTTCAGCCTCTGTGTAGATCTTTTATCATGTGTATCTGGGGAAGGAGAGCACCATCATAGCATTTTTACATCCTAACAGTCTCTGGCTGCTGATTGTATCCAGGATCAACTGATTTCCAGATGTCCCCAGAGAACGAGTCAGACTTAAAGAAGATGAAGCCTACCACTGTACTTAACTTACATACTGCCCCTTTCTTGAGAAGCTCAGCTTAGACGTGGCCTAGCTAAATTGTCTTCAACTTTGATTGAGATACAGCTTCCTAAACTGTGAGTTTAGAATATCTTCTGGTGTGAAGCATCCAAAGAAATGTCCTTCCACTATTTACTTGAAGGTTCTCTGTGGCATTATGCGTTAGATGATATTCTTGCTTTTGGGAGTAAAGTGCTTATAAAGTCAGTATTGACTCTATTTTAACCTTCTGTAGAAACCCATAGCCTTTAAATTTGTCATTTTTCATACGTCATCATTTTTCTTAAGGTGATTTCTAAAAAAATAAAATGCATTCTAGGAATACATCATTTTTGTTTTTATTTGCTTAGACACTCTATGAGTAAAGGGACTGGTTAGCAAAGTGTGTTAATGCATGAGCTTTTCCTGCCCAAAGCTGTTGCATTCATTTAAATTTAAGTCTTCGTCAAAGAAAAAGTTAGCAACATGTATTTACCTTCAGCAGTCAAAATCAAGTGTACAGAACTAAGCACGCACGTCAGGTTTCTGCTTTGCAATGTTAAGAGCCTGAATCAATTCTCATTTAAGGCAGAGGGAGCCAGTGCTTCTGTCTCAGAAAGGATGTGATCCAACAAGAGTTTTAAATGTGAGTAGTCCTACTGAAGTAAGCAGGACTACGCAACATAGTCCTGCTTCTGTGCTCTATGGCTTGCACTGGTCCTTGGAAGCTACTTGGTATTTTTGAAATGGCAGCTTATTTAGGCCCTGATTCTGTGAAAATTCAATCCTATATTTAACTAAAAGCATCCATCAGTATTTGCAGGATCAGGATTAAGACCCTACACGAGGATCTGGCAATATTATATTTAAGCATTGCTTTCTGAAAAACATGGGTCACAGCATTTTAAATTCACAAAGGGCTTTGGGACGATGTTGTAAATCACACAGTAAAAATATGAATGGTCAAAATATTTTGCTTGCTACAAAGGCTTTCTGCCTGAGAGATGACAGGACCACAAAAGACCTATTCATACACCCATTCATAGACATTGCCTGATTTAAAATCTTCCAGTCCTGATCCGACAATGCTTTCAGCAAAAGCTTGTATATAGTTTCAGTTTTAACGTTAAAATGTTCCACGACTTAACCCAAAATACAAGAGCTTGGTTTAATTGTGCCTGCAGCAGAAAATTAAGGTGAATGGAGCTGAACATCCCATGAAACTCTGCTTTCAAGAAACTGTTGGTTTCTAATAGTAAAATGTTGTTATATAAATAGGAAATGTTATACACAGTTGGCAGGTGCAATGAAGTCTGTCAGAATGTTTATTCTTTTCTCTTTTTTTGAGGTTTATAGAATCAAGCCAGGAGTTGAGCAGAAAATTACGTGATGGCGGATACATAACTTGGACTGTGTGAGCACAGGTGTGTCGTCTAGTTAGGGTAGTCATGGTACAGAGCCAGTTTCCAGTCAGCTGAGACTGTTTGTATACACAGGAACACCTCCTCTCTCCTCGAAACCTGCTTACAATATGTCAGTCTCCACAATCATGTGAGAAGTGTTAGTGAAATGCTCCTCTCTGAAGATTTATGTGAGAAACTATTGCTTTTCTGCTGATAAGGTTCCATTTTCCAGTTGACTTTGAAGTGGAAGGACCCACCAAAATGAGTACAAATTACTTGTGAGAGCAGAGGTAGTATTGCAAAAGCTGCAGAAAGTCAGTGGAACTTCTTTACGATGCATATTTGTCCACAAGAAGTGGGGACGTGCACTTTATCCTTCAAACTCATTCATCCCAATGCATTGAAATAGACCCAGTGGCCTTCATTGACCAAGCCAAGTAAAATCTCTTTCAAACTAACCTATGATTTTTGGGAAGGGAACTCAGTAATAAAGCCTCATAACATATTTTTTAAAAAACTACTAAATTAATATGATACTCACTGCTGCTTAGTTAAGTCTCTGAGAAAAGCTGGGATTTTGCTATCCCTCCATGCTGATGGAGTTCCTGCTGCAGAGGCTTTCCAAAGCTTACAGAGCAGAAGGGTTCCCTTGTGAGTCAATAGACACTGCTCCTATTCATATATCGAATATAATGTTCACCTATTTCACAATGGCATAACATCTCCTAGTTTATGTTCATGCTATGATCCACCATAATCCTTGGATTCTTCCGTGCAGAGTTACTGGGTAGTCACTTGTTTTTCCATCCTGTGTTTGTGCAGCTGACTATTCCCATATGGGTTTAGTAACTGGCATTTAACCGTATTGACTTGCATCCCATTTTTGTAGCTGATTTCTGTAGTTTGTCAAGATGATTTTGAATGCTCATTCTTCCTCAATTTGGTATTATGGGTGGACGTAGTAAGTTCATTCTCCGTTGCTAACATCCAGACCATTAATGAAAACATTGAACAGCTCTGGACTTAAGCCTCACTCTATTCATCCTTCTGCTTAGTAGAGCTACTAAACTTAGACTTACTTTGTGAGCATGGTTTTCTAACTCACCTTTTGGAAGACCATGTGTTCTAGGCGTGCCTATAAAACTGTCACATGAAATAGCCTGACGTGAGATGTCAGTCAATTGCTTCTCCCCTGTCCAAAATATTTTAGTGGTGACAGAATACAAAATAGAGAAACATGCCCACAAATCGTTTTTCAAGTCAGGAAATTAATCAAAGTTAGGAAATGCAGATCAAATTTCAAAGGCCATCCTTAATTAATACTTCTCTTTGATATTACTCAGCAAATGATTTCCCAGGTAAGTTTTTTCTTCAGTTTAAACTGTACTTTTGGGGAAGATAAAACATGTAGTTGTTTTACAGGAGGAAAACCATGCTATCTTTCATTAAAGGTTTAAACTTGTCTAGAGTTTTATACTTTTAATGTAACTACTTAAACAGAATGTATGTTTTTATGCATAACAATTTGTCATTTGAGGTCAGGGTTTATCCAGCAAATCTTTTAGTTCAAAAAGATTTACAATATTTTTGTCAAGAGAAAAAAAAATGTTCTGAAGCAAAAAAAAACCAACTCTTTTCTTGAGGAAGTGCTGTATAAAGTATTGCGTTTGGGGTGAAAATATTTTCATTCTGAGATAATGTTTTGGCAATCTATATCACTGTTTTAACTACCTTCTTACTATTATTCCCAAAAGTAGACACTCGTGTGTATTTACGTGTGTATTAGATACATTGGTCTTCCTTGCTTTGTACGTGTAACATATAAATGTTTGTGTGTATAAACATGATTCCCTGGAAATGTTTAGTACAGTCTTGCTGGCTTTGACAACTTCTGCAGTTTGATCTAGCAGCCTGGAGGTACATGAGGAAAGAAAAAGCCTTTACACATGGGAGTTCAGATGCTGCTAAATGTTTAAGGTAAAGCTGCTTTTTTCTGGCTTGCCATCTGCTTTGTGGGAAAAATAAAATGTGGAAACAGTGAAGTAAGAATGGTAGGAAAACAAGGCAATAAAAGCATGTCCAGACTGCGTAGAGACCGAAGGTAATATATTTGAACATCTTCTGAGCAATACTAATACAGAAAAATGTGCCAGGAGCTGGTTATCCTATTGAAAGAGGAGCAGCTAAAAGAGGGTTTCCAGAAAATGGAAGCTCTTCCAGAAGCTCTTCTATTTCCTCTTGTCTCCAGTAATGCATCAATCCTCTCATCAGGAGGGGTTAGTACCTCTTTTCTGCTAAATATTTTTCTGCCCTAATTTTATTCTAATTCCCTTCACAAAGTCTGAGGTCTCATTGAATCTTTTTCCTAAATTTCCCTTTGGCAATCTGTCATCCTCTTTCTCATTTCTTTTCCATATAATGTTGGTCAACATCTTAATTTTCATCCTTCTCTGATCGTTAAAATGATTACCCTGCTGTTACACTCCAAAACCAATTTCATTCATAAAATCTATCAGTATTAATCTGCTAGTGTTAGGAAAATGAAACACTGTATATTTTTAAAACTGACACTACTGAAAAGGAAAATACCAAGCTGAAGGAAGATTACTTCTGGAGGTCCTTAGGGATGAGCCTAGGGGCCAATCTCATGCAGCATTTTCATCAGTGGCATTGGCACAAAAAGTAGGAACTCCAGTGAAACCTGTTGATGGTGTGTATCTGCGAAGTCTTATGAGAAACAGCTGTTTCTTTTTTGAAGTAGAAGCAGCCGCTACCTTTAAACAATGCATGAGTAAGGCACACAGGGTTAGAAATTTCTGATGTGTGTTGTGTTGTGGAGATTTGTATGCCTGTACAGGGAGGGGGAAAAGCACAGGGGGGAGAAGAACAGTAAAGCAGTGAAAAACCAAGGGCATGCCTGAGAAAAGCTCTAGGAGTCCAGCCTAAGAAAGAGAGAGAGAGCATGTGAGAGATGGCAAGAAAGAGAGAAAGTGAGAGCACTTTTGGCCTAAATATTGACTGGAAAAGGGGATGAGGGCTGAGCGGAGACACCTGACCCTGTTTAATTCATTCTGTTTGGGAAACGGGATTGTAGCAGATGCCTGGCATTGTCTGATCTTGAATTGCCTGCTAATCCCACTGGTCAGAGGGGATAACAATAACCACAAATTGACCTGGAGAAAAAGAATGACCATACTATTTTCAGGTTAATTCTTGGGAAGGAAGGATAGCCCTGTTTGGGGTTTTTTATGGCTCTATTTGTCTTGTGCAGAAATATTTAACTGAAGAAGATTTTACCGTCACAACTACAACATCACAGAGTCACAGGACAGTTGAGGTTGGAAGGGGACTCTGAAGACCATCTAGTCCAATGCTCAGAAAGGGTCAGCCATAGCAAGTTGCTCATGCCGTGCCCAGTCCATTGTGATTTAGTAAGCAGAGAATAAATTTCATCTGCATCTTCCAAAAAACTTTAGTATTTATAAATAGCAGTTCTGAATGTAAATCACTCTGCTGGGATTTTATGAAGCTGCTGCACTCACCTGGCAGCACCATTAATGAATGCTGCAGTCCCATCCTACTGCAAGTGTGTCTCTGTCTTCAGTGCTTATATGTGCCCCAGGTACTGTAAAGGTTTTCTTCTGCATGTTAGCTTTATGCCTCTGCTGAGACTTCAGCCAGTGGGTCCTAGCTAGAATAGTCTTCACAATTAGGAAACAGATACATTAAACCATTTTAATACTTAAGCTGAAAACTGCTGTCCTTATTATCCTCTGTTTGTGAAGGTCCTCTCCCACACAGAGTTGTCATTTATTTGAGAGAGACTGAGAGGAATATCTAATGGGAAAATGTAGAACCA